ATCCTACCTGCTGTAGAGAGCAGTGATGCAGGGGATTCTCATTTGAGAGGTGAGCAAACATGTACTGAGAAAAGTAACAAACGTTGCTGTCTTAGAAAAAAGTATATTGCTTCAAATAGTTGGTAACTTTAAAATCTGTACATCTTGTCTCATTTTGTTTAATTTACTTTTCTCCCATTTATTTAGTCAAGCAATGCTGTTGTTTTTAGCCATCGTTGTGTGCACGGTGTCTCAATTCTGTTAATCTAAGCTCAAAACTTCAACTCATCATAACTGGCCACTTATTACAGTATATGGTGATGTTTTTTTACAGGGACTTAAATATTGTTTAAATGAAATGACCTGGAAAAAGTGCAGACCTCGTCTGTATTTTAAAACTTTCTAAAAGAACTGAGCTTTTCAGCATCTCTGACACAACTCCTAGCAAACTAAGCTAATCAGCAGATGTGCACATGTAAAGACCACCATCAATGCAGGATTAAGAAGAATAGTGACATAAAGCACAACCTCAAGAAAAATAGCAAGGTACAGTGCCTTGCGAAAGTATTTGGCCCCCTTGAACTTTTCAAACTTTTGCCACATTTCATGTTTCAAACATAAAGATATAAAATTTTAATTTTTTGTGAAGAATCGACAACAAGTGGGACACAATCGTGAAGTGGAATGAAATTTATTGGATGTGTCAAACTTTTTTTAACAAATAAAAACTGAAAAGTGGGGCGTGCAATATTATTCGGCCCTCTTGCGTAAATACTTTGTAGCGCCGCCTTTTGCTGCAGTTCCAGCTGCAAGTCTCTCGGGGTTTGTCTCTATCAGTTTTGCACATGAAGAGACTGAAATTCTGCCCATTCTTTCTTGCAAAACAGCTCAAGTTCAGTGAGGTTGGATGGAGAACGTTTGTGAACAGCAGTTTTCAGCTCTTTCCACAGATTCTCGATTGGATTCAGGTCTGGACTTTGACTTGACCATTCCAACACCTGGATACGTTTATTTGTGAACCATTCCATTGTAGATGTGTCTTTATGTTTTTGGATCATTGTCTTGTTGGAAGATAAATCTCCGTCCCAGTCTCAGGTCTCTTGCAGACTCAAACAGGTTTTCTTCCAGAATGGTCCTGTATTTGGCCCCATCCATCTTCCCATCAATTCTGACCATCTTCCCTGTCCCTGCTGATGAAAAGCAGGCCCAAACCATGATGCTGCCACCACCATGTTTGACAGTGGGGATGGTGTGTTCAGAGTGATGAGCTGTGTTGCTTTTATGCCAAACATATCATTTTGCATTGTGGCCAAACAGTTTGATTTTGGTTTCATGTGACCAGAGCACCTTCTTCCACATGTTTGGTGTCTCCCAGGTGCTTGTGACAAACTTTAAACAACACTTTTTATGGATATCTTTGAGAAATGGCTTTCTTCTTGCCACTCTTCTATAAAGGACAGATTTGTGCAGCGTACGACTGATTGTTGTCTTATGGACAGGATCTCCCACCTCAGCTGTAGATCTCTGCAGTTCATCCAGAGCGATCATGGGCCTCTTGGCTGCATCTCTGATCAGTCTTCTCCTTGTTCCAGATGAAAGTTTAGAGGGACGGCCGGGTCTTGGTAGATTTGCAGTGGTCTGATACTCCTTCCATTTCAATATGATTGCTTGCACAGTGCTCCTTGGGATGTTTAAAGCTTGGGAAATCTTTTTGTATCCAAATCCGGCTTTAAACTTCTCCACAACAGTATCTCGGACCTGCCTGGTGTGTTCCTTGGCCTTCATGATGCTCTCAGCGCTTTGAACAGGACCCTGAGACTATCACAGAGCAGGTGCATTTATACGGAGACTTGATTACACACAGGTGGATTCTATTTATCATCAGTCATTTGGGACAACATTGGATCATTCATAGATCCTCACTGAACTTCTGGAGTGTTAGCTGCACTGAAAGTAAAGAGGCCGAATTGCACGCCCAACTTTTCAGTTTATTTGTTAAAGTTTGACACATCCAATAAATTTCATTCCAGTTCTCCAATGTGTCCCACTTGTTGATTCTTCATAAAAAAATTTTTTTTTTTTTGTTTCTTTATGTTTGAAGCCTGAAATGTGGCAAAAGGTTGAAAAGTTCAAGGGGGCCAAATACTGGCTGACTTCAAAGGTACCGTATTTTCCTCCATACACGTCGCACCGCCCTATAAGTCGCATCAGTCCAAATATGTCTAATAAAGTGGACAAATCCATATATATGTCGCTTTGCCATATATGCTGCATCAATTGTGCGTCACCGCTGATGTTTTGCATTTGTTATGCGACACCGCTGACCACCTGGAAATGTGGGCCGGTGTTGTGCCAAACATAAATTGGCTGCCAAATGGCGGTGGTGGGAGTGTGCACGGTAGGACTTTAACAAGAATTTAACAAGATTAACACTTAAAAACAATTTATTTGTTTGCTCGAAATTATAGTAAAGGTGTGTCAGTCTAACTTTTCCTTAATAAATGCACTTTGATGGTTAAATCAGCTGCATTTCAAAAGTATTCGCTGCTTCAGCGCTCTGGGAGCGCGCAGACAGGGAGGAAATCAGGAAGGAGGAACGCTGTTTTCTTGAAAATTTAACAAGGTAAGCACCTAAAACAATTTGTTTGCTTGACATTATAGCAAAGGTGTGTCTCAGTTGAACCTTTACTTAATAAATGCATTTCAATGGCCAAATTTAGCTGCATTTTGCCGGGGCTGCGCAGCGAAACGAAGCTGTTTTGACGGTTGCTCCAAGCGAGCAGAACAAAATTGGCAGGCTATGGCAAGTCGATTGTGTCATTAATAGCCACTTTTGCCTATTACGACACAATGGCATGCTATATTGATCTGCTGCCATCTAGTGGCAAAAAATGGTAGTGTTCAATATTTCAGTCTGAATGAAAAAACGGTTACGTCTTGCAGTGAACTCGGCCTCCGGTCAAACCTGCCTCTGAAGACCTTCATGGGACAGGAACTGTTATTTCATTGATTTGAATCCAGAAATACAAATTAGCTCATCCAGAGACTTTCTAATTGTATCCTGAACTAATCAATTGAAAGAACACTCTTTTTTATATTATCATTACTATTTTACAATATCTTGATAATCAAAAGTGTGTTTAGTTCATACCATTTTTAAATGTTGAAGTGAACCACTCATTTTAAATCAACTGTGAAACAGTATTAATGATTTTTTTTAATCCTCATTCAAAGTAGAAATCAAGTTAAATGTCTATTTTACAAAGTAATTATGCATTTTTGATCTTCTGTCTGAAATGAGAGAGTGATGTCGGTCAAAAGTCGGAGACAGTCAAAAACAAGTTTATTGGAACGAACTGTCGTGTTTTTAAACCTCTCAGACAGAAACAAGAAAACTGGCACCTGTAAGTCTGTCATTTCTCCAAAATATTTTCTCGTCTGTAACTAACCGTTCCTAAACATCTCCGTTGTTTTCTGACTTGTAATGACCCTCTGACGTCACTAAAACCACACCCCTGTTGGTTCCTTCAACCAATCAGGACTTGCTGAAAGTGACCGGGAGCAGAACTCTTTAAAAGTTGACACTTCCTGGAACAGTCAGTTCTAGTTCGGAGAAGTTCGAGTGCTGGAGAACAGAAGTTCTGAAGTGAGAAAGTTGGTTGGTTGGTTCCGCGACTTCTTCTGGTTCTGATGGAGTTCGGCTGGAGTTCCTAGGAGTTCTTCCGAGTCTAGTTGGGATTATGGAGCCTTCCACATCTGAGTGGAACCTCTGACAGACTCGCAGCTCGCTGTGAGTTCACCCGGGAGATGAGCGTGTTTGTTGAACGGAGTACCGTCACTACTTCGGACGATTCTCAGCCATCCTAAGGAGACGCTGAAAGGTAGCGTTGAAATGGAACTCCGTACCGGAGCTGACCTATCTTCTGCAAAGGTACTACCGAGTGTACTGGGGCTGAGCTGGGGTCGGATGAAGGGTGCCATTCCTTGTCAACACACTTTCCTCATCCATCATTTTCTCTCCATTTAAACTCCTTCATTTCCCATCTTTAAACTTCTATCTTGCCAGTAATTAATCCAGATATCTTCAGAAATGTCTGTTGTTTTTATTAAGTAAAACGTGCCAAGTTTTATTAATCGGAGCCGATCAGAATAATCAAATGTACAATGTTTTGATGTTAAATTTTGATTCTGTTAATAAATGACCACATTTATTTTGATGGGTCAAAGAAAATTAACGTCTCACATGTCACTGATTAAACCATCGACAACACAGTACCTCTGTCACATATCTGTCAAGTAGCTCGAAAAAGTGAGAACCCTTTATTAAAAATTGACTGTAGTGGAGCTATAAGCTAACCAAGCTAACCTAGCCTTAGCATACTACAGTCTCAACCAAAAATTGGTTTATAAATATGAGGAAAAAATCCATAAACGTGTCACTTCGGCATACAAGTACAAGTCGCAGGGCACGCAAATGATGCCAAAAAAAACAAACAAAAAAAAAACGCAACTTATACAGCGAAAAATACAGTAATTTAATCCCTGCTTGTGATGAACTCGTCTTAAAGCTGAATAAAACACAAATCCAAGAGAACAATACTAAAATAAATAGCTGTTTGATTCAGACTGCCCAAACACAAAGTTCTAATCATACAGTATGATGGTGCTTTACCTGTAGCACCATCTTGTATAACAACCCGTTCTAAATCCTGACATTTCTTTTCTGAACAGGGCCTTGTCAAGTGGTGCTTAGTTTTTATGGAAACAAACACGATATTGAAAAGTATCACTTATTAATATAAATCTGTAAATTACTGTATATGATGTTTGTATGTGCACACCTGTGTGTGGAGGGAATGTAGCTTTTCTGTTGCAAAACGAGAGATGCTCTAAGGACAAAATGGTTGTGAATCACTGCACAGGAAGGTCACACCACGCTGGGATGACACTGCGGCATGAGTATCATACTCTGTTTTCATGACCCTGTTACGATCAAAGCTTAATTGCAGTACGAGGTCAACATGGCCAAGACTGCTTCAGATTGTCAAACACCATGCCAGGCCTCACATTATGGTTATGCTGCCACCTTATTCCCTCACACTAGAGCCAGGGTTCTGAAAGTTGTCACCATGATGAACAACAAAACTTTGCTATGGAGGTCCATGCTCAAAATGTCTCTGACCTGCCGAAGTTTGTCCTTTGTTTGGGAGTTCACTGTTTGTTGGTACACTCATGAAGAGCTTGCAAAGGTATGTTCAGCTCTTTATTTTACGTAGTAAGCCATCTCTCACTGTGTAGGGGGCTTTAGACCAGCTTACTCAATGACAGGAATGTTGAGCTGAGTTAGATTTTACTTCTATCATAATGCTGGATATTGCCGTTTAAAAAATTTTGTTTTTGCGACACAATTTTTATTTTATTTTAATTTTTTTTTATCATAAATTGTGTTTACAAGTTATCTTGGTCAGCAATTCTTTGATCTTTACAGGTGTTGCACTTATCAGCTGGATATTTTGATTATTATCATGCAGATTTTTTATAATATTTTGCTTTTCAAATTGCTTTAAATCACCTTTAGAAGGCGCTGCACAAGAAAGCCATTCAAATAATCATTGCACCCAACTAGTGCTTGGGATGCAGTCAGAACCTGAACAACATGCATCTTTGTCTTTGAGATTTAGTGAGTGTTGGGCTTCCTGGTGGGATTGGATTACTTTTCCTCTTCAGATGCTGGAAAGAAGCTAGTGGGGGAAAAAAACCCAACAATCCCAGTGGCTTCCTGCATTCAGTGAGTCAAATGATGATCAATCGATTCTGGGCAGGATGCTGCCATTCCACAGTTTAATCCCTGCTCTCAGGCCATCCGGACTAAAGCAGACTGGCACTGGACCTTATTACACTTCTTCTTTTCTCTGTCCTCTTTGATATTATAGTTTTGGGGAAACGACTACCTTGCAATTACGGCCAACATTCACTAAACTGATGCTTTGTTATGCTAGAAAGTCTTGGGTAATATTGTGTTGTAATTCAAAACACCATTTAATTGGCTTAAACTGTTAAATAATTTAATAAGAGAACAGTTTAGTAATTTTGGAGTTGTATTAGAGAGTTAATGACGTTTTGTGTGCTACTTCCAGTTTCCTCCAGTCGGTGCATTCCTAGTTTGGAGAAACGGGCGATGTCCATCTCCACAGTCAGTTTGAAAATGACTTGTCTTATGAACAAAAATGAATATTCTGCTCTTTTTATATTATGATGCTGTGTCAGGTAGCAATTTTTTAGCAGTGCAGTTATTTAAATGAAAATCTGGTTGCAAATTCAGTTTTAGTAGCTTTTTAGTCTAATTGTAAATTTTGCATGTGTACATGTTTTCTATGTAACAGCGTTATTTCTAAAATCAAAGCTATACAGAGTGTCCAACAAAGGTAGGTCAGGTCCTCCGGATGGTTTCCTTTTTTGTTAAAACGTTTCATCTTTCATCCAAAGGACTTCATCAGTCTGAGTAGCTGCAACAAACTCAGTCATTTAAGGCAGTGGGTCAACCAGTTTGACGGTGCTAAGATTAAGGTTATACAGAGTGTGACATTTTAAAACCCAGAATAAGCTTCCTCTGTTTCTTTTTGGTTTGAAAACATGATTCAAATTTACGATGGACCTTTAGGGACACGCTAAGAAAAAACATTTTTCATTGCTATGCTAGAAAAAAAAAAGTAAAAGCCATAAAATTACGAGAATAAAGTCCTAGTATTATGAGATTAAAGTTGAATAAAGTCTCAAGGTTACGAGAATAAAGTCATAAGACTTTTTTTTTTTCAGCTCTTATTTATTTTCCCACGAGTCGGATCCAAGATGGGACCTGTCAATCAATCCAGTAGGCATGTCAGCAAATGGAGCTAATGAAGTTAAATACCTGCAGAGAGCTGTGCTGCAGCCCACCTTACTGAGCACCTCCGATCATACCACCTTATTGTAAGCAGGTTCAAAGTCATCCGTCCATCTGTCCATCCGTCCGTCCGTCCATCCATCCATCCATCCATCCATCCATCCATCCATCC